AAAGACTTGTTATGCAGGTTCAAACAAGGACAACTTCCCAACTCAACTTCTCCTGCTTTTGGGTCATAGAGGAACAGTGACACAAACCACTCTCAGTGGGGTTACTGCCTGCTTTGCACTTCTGTTGGTACCCTGCTGCACAGCTGGCTCGTGCCAGCAAAACAAAAAGTTCTCAGCATCACTATGGACTGTGCCACCCACAACTTCATACCACATGAGAGAGTAAAGAGACAAACATCTCTTGATGGGAAATTGGTCAATTCCCATGTTATACAAATCCTGAATGCATAAATATGATTATAAAACTGAGCTGTATGAACCCACAGTGAAGATTGTATAATCTCTGCCCCATCTTTATCACAAAAAAAGTCCCCACCCCTCCTTTTTCTTTTAAACTACTATGTGGAAGAAACTAAAATCAAAGGAATAAACTTAAAATACCAGAGCTCAGTTATGATGAAGGAAAAGAATTTAGGTTTTGAATAACACTTGCAAGAATCACACCGCCCCCACACCCCCTTAGGTTATGTGATAAAAGGCTCATTTCTACACACACAAAAGAACACAGAGGCAACTCCAATAACCCAATCACAGAGAGGAGCCCCAGTCTCCTTCCAGGGCTGCCCCAGGGGAGCCTCAGCTCCAGGGACCAGGGGCTTGACCACCTGGCACTTTGAACAGTGGAAAAGGTCCAGAGTAGCTCACAGACAAAGCGGGTACTGCCCATGAGACTAGGGGACTTGTTATGGGACACAGGGGAAGTGCCTTTGGGGGTTGCACAGGACATACAATGTGATATTTAACAGAGGAATTGTAGGTGGGAGAAGGGTGAAATCAGGATGGCCTGAGAAACACAAACAGGGGAAGAGACGAATAAGAGGTTAGTAGGCTGGTCTGGCCACATCCAGTGCCTGATCAGTACAGTCTGCCCTATCTTCTCATTAAACTCCAATTTCTAACTCTTTCCTTGGAGTCTCCAGCCTGCGTATGCACATGTGTGGGGGTTTGGGTGCAGCAACTGGAGTAGGACCTTGGGTTGCAGGAGCCAAATATCCACAGCCCTGCAACTGCAGCACGCGAGGGCACGTGTGCCAGTGTGTGATCACCAACCAGCGTAAGGCTGGACAGCCAGTAAAGACGGGAGCTAGCCCAGGAGTTTTGGAGGCAGTCATAAGTCTAGGCCAGATGCTGGAGAGACCAGAAGGTCTGAGCTTGCTTATGAGTGGGACTGGGAGGTCCAGGTCAATCACTGAAGACACCATGAAATCTACCGAGACCCATTTGCATCTGTATGTGTCTATGCAAAACATAACTGGAGACGAGAAGACTCAGGGGCCAGCAGATGGGTAGGCTGAGTATCTAAGACCAGCTCCTAGAGGGATCCATCAATGTTCATGTGTTCCATTAAACAGGCTTTTATACTGACATTCATTTTGACACTCATTTCCATTCAGCCAGAGGAAGGGAATGCAGTGAGGCCATTGGTGCTGTTTATGACTGCACGAGTGCTGTGCTGTCTGTGGTGATTTCTGTGTGTGTATTGATCTGGTTTTGGTGTGTGCACAGGCACCTACTGCGAGCATGAGCTGAACCTCGCTTCGAGCCAGACCTGGGCACACAGGTACATGGCAGCCTCACCTCTGCCGGGCTGCTGGATTTGGCAACTCCTAAGGTAGGCTATGGAGGACAATAGATCAGGAAATGTCAGTCTTCTGACACCATAAGGGAAATAAAAATAAATAAATACAAACAACTGAAAAAACTCCCAAAGCGTTGGATTCTGGATCCTCTGAATTTGATTGATGTGGTAATCTTTCATTGTCTTTTCAAACAGCCTCTTGATTTTTTCATGTTCCTGGGAATCACAGCTGAGCCGAATCAACTGAAAATTTTAAAAACACCAAAAATAGGGTATTACTGACAGTAACAAGTCCCAGTCCTTGCAAAGGACTTATCAACCTCTTCACATCTACATAAAAATCACAAGCTCCTTCTGTTTTTTTCCATTAACCATCCTCTCTCCATGTGGAAGCACAGGCACTGATCATGGAAAATCAGTGCAATCCCATGTGAACTGCCTTTGGTGGACACACCTCTGCATCCAGGTTATTTTGAGTTCAGAGTAACCTGAAGTGCAAGCAGTATTCAGGCGGGAGAAGAGTGGAAAGTTTCACCTTAATTCTGGCACCCTAGCTCCTTCCCTACAGGGCTAAGGTGTAGTTTTACCACAGCAAATAACATTTTGCCTCAAATCAACAGGGGAAATACTACAATACTCCCTCAAGATACAATTCTTCCAGTTTATCAGAGGACGAGGTGCCTTGGAAGACTGCAAAGGACAGGTCAGACCAGTAATGGCCAAAAGAGCCTTTATCCTGCATGGTATCATAGGAATTTCTCAGAGAGCTTCCAAGGAAACACACATCTATTCTGAATGAGAAACTATCAGTTTCTTATTTTTATAAGACACATTTAAAAGCTAGGAACATCTGAACTGCCTTGACTCATGTTCTCAGGACACAGTTCATCCTACCCACTGGAGACCTGGGAAGACCTACCTTGAACCCAGTGTCAGGTAGTGCAGACTGGTCCCATTCTGGAGGATAGGTAGAAAGAGATAGAGTCGTGTTTTGGCTGCAGAAAAGAAACAGGAGCAAATCAGCTGATTACACTTTTAACCAAAACCCCCTTCTGAAGAATCCAACCACGGGCTCTACAGCAGCCTTCACGTATCCCTGGATTTTTATTTTGCATTACTTTTCTCATTACCATTATCCCCATTGCCCAGGTTGGATTTCCACACACATCCTAGAGGCACTAATGCATCCCTTGGCAGGTCAAGACACTGGTAGGAGAGCTTCAAATGAGAAGTAACACGTTCCTAGCTGGATGGTTTATCCAACCGCTCCAGATACCCCTCTGCATGTGCTACCTGAACACCTCAAGGAAACCGGAGCATGAGCCCTCTCCCTCCATGTGGCTGCTCTTCTCTGATTCACTGGCCAGATGGGTGGCCAGTGGTACCCATCCCCAGGACCAAGACAGCCAGGAGCCTGTGGATGCACAGCTATGCCCTGCAGGCACTGCTGCACCAGTCGGTGCTCAACAACTTCCAGCACTGTGCCATCCTGGCATGCAGGTTTTAATCCAGGCAATAAGAGCATCAGCATCCATTCAGGACCTACAGTTTGGTTTGGTATTTTTTTCGAGTTAACCCCCCTTTGGTTGAACCAGCCCTTAAATAGAATCCTCTGTTTCACATGCACTGTCTGTTGGTGAGTTTCTGAGGCAAAGGCAGCTCTTTTTGAAATAAATCAGTAGCACAACTAACATTTGCAGCAGATGTGCTCCAATTCTTTTAAGCTGAACTTCCTTCAAAAAAAGCCATGAGATAAGGCATCTCAAGTAAGTGCCTCTAGTTCACTTAATTTAGGAGGATTTGCCTGAATTTGTGTTTTAATTTATCTTCAGCTTTCCAGGCAATGGCATCCATATGCTCCACAGATCTTGTTATTGGCAGTCCCTTGCTCCTAATCTTTGCACAATTTATTTATTAGCATTGAGGCATAAATCCAGGAATAAAAATTCCTGGTACAGTCGCGTCAGCCTTGTGTGGCCTTGCCTCTCACAGAGAGAATAAATCTACTCTAGTGGTCTCTCACAGCTGCCAGACACTGCCACCAAACATCCCTCCAGAGTGCTTCACTGGAGTGTTGCATAATTTGCAAATATTGTTGCCACAAAATTTACCATTAAACGAGTCATCTAAAAATGAATTTAAGAAATCTAAAATTGCATTTTAAACAGGTAGGAGGAACTTCTTAGCAATAAGGTTCTGTCCTCTAGAGACATTGTCAAATAATGGGTTTATATTACCTTTTGTCTTGTCCACCTTCAGGTAACAGATATTTTGGCAGTCGAATAACATTTCTTCGTGTTTCAAAGACCAAATTTGTTTGGACCATGTCTTCAAAGAAAAACACAATGACTCAAAAATTAGATAATTCATTGTCCACACTCTTACATGTTAAGTAAACATAAAAGAGAAAGTAGCCTTGAATATTGCATTGTGTTACTCTCTCTATCCCACCCACCTCAGTCCAGACTTCATAACCATTCCCACTCACACTGCTCCTACTTGGAGATCAGCAAGCACAGGCTGTGAAACTCAAAGGTAACCAGTCACCAACTGCACCTGCATATGTATTTGCATCCAGGCTGCCAGTAAGAGAAAACCAGGTGTGATGGCAGGCCAGCAGCAGGGAAGAGTTTTCAGTACAATGGGGGCCACAAACCTGGCTGTCCTGGCAGCATGGGGTTGTTACGTGGTGCTAAGAGGAAAGTCTGCCCTCTCTTCTTGGTCCTATAACAATATCACAGAGCCCATGCTGAGTGACACAGCTAATTATCCATCGTTTCCTCCTTTAAACACCACTCTTGATTCATGCCAGGAAACAGATTTAAAGTTTGGAAAGCTAACAGGAGTTTTAAGATGGGTAAATAAATTAGAAACAGAAAAGCATTTCTTATTTTCCCCTTCCTCTCTCTGTGCAACAGGCCCTAAATTTTTGTTAGCTGCACTCTGTGTTTTCCCTCCCCATAATTAAGCTTGCAAGATGTCCACTATGGTCTCACTTCTTCACCATTTGACTTTTAAGCTGTGTTTGGGGTTTTTTTCTGGTTTCTCATTCCTTCTCTTTAGTTGTATAAACCCAAATGGACAAGCCAGGTGCCATGAAGCATTTACTCTTGACTCTTCTTCTGAATATATAATATTGCCAAAGATACTTTTTTGACTACACATGCCCAAGTGTAGAAGCTTGAGCAGGGCATCTCAGAGCTGCAGAGAAATGTACGTACTGATCAAGTTCCCTAGCACTGGAGAAAATTTGCAGTAGGAAAAAGACCCGATCAAAGAGTTGCAGACACAGGATAAAAGCTCTGCATGGAAGAAGATACCTTCAAGCCAGCTGCACTGTGTAACAGACTTAAAACAAGGATATACTTCACCTGCAAAGTCTATCTTATACTGCTGAGAACCTGCCGAAAAAACAATTACAGCTTTCTCATCAGCTTGGTATTCACTCTCCAGAAATTCAGATGTTATGCTGGCAGCGCAGTGATCTGGATGCTGTAGAAAGAATATTGAAATTATACCGGTTAGAAACCACCCTTTGGTTTAGGAGTCACTGTGGGGAAGTACCAGTGTTTCCCCAGGCCCCTATCATGTGATGCTGTTCTGAAGTAGGTCTCTAAGGCTTAAAGCATTTTGTTCTGCGGCGACAGAGGGGTACCCCACAGAGAACAGCTGCTTGTAACAACAGCAACAAAGCAGCCTTCAGCCTGTGTGGTCAGCTTCAGCCAAAAGATGCCTGTCAGCTCTGGAAAATGCACACGCTTTCAAAGCCAGCCCTTTGAAAGCTTTCACAGAGTTCCAGTCCTGCTTTGAGGGACAATTAATAAGACAATTCCACCCGAGCATCGGAGCAGCACTGCAAGAGCACCCAGCGGTGCGTGTAGAACACACCAGCTGCAGAACAACGTGCCCTACATAACTGTCCAAAGATGGTTAAGAAAAGATTTTTGGCATCAGCAGCAGGCAGATCTCACCTTTTTCCCATACTCAATCCACTCCTTAGAATCATCGAGCCAATACCAGGCATACTCCATTTCAGGAGCAGATGAATGAATCCACAGAAAACACAGGTGCAGAAGAGCTGATCAGCGCTTGGCTGCTTGCTCTGCCCTACATTGGAAGAGAAATCCAGATTAAAGTAGGGGTCTTTTCCAAAGCTGCCAAAGTATGCAATATCACTGGTCTGATCAGAAATCTAATCACTGCTTTAAAAAGGAGACCCCCTCCAGCTGGGAAGTGCAGGTTTGCCCCAGAACCAAGGAACTGCTGTTTATAGATTTATGTGGCGTGATAAGCACCACAGAAACAACCCTGACCTCTCTGTCTTGGACCCGTGTCACTGTTTTTCTCTAAAATATATATTTCTAAAATACAAATTGTAAGAAAATACACTTGACACAACAAACTCAGCTTGTTGCATGAAGGCCAGTGATGCCACCTGGCTAATAGGAATAAGATTTGTCTTCTGAGCAGTGTGTGATCAGCTGCAAAAGTCAGAATGCTTTCAGAAGGCGCTGATAGCATCATCCTTCCTTCAGTGTTCAGGAAAACAAAGCTGCTGATCACAGGTACTGTACCAGGTGCAGGTGCTCAGATGCTGGCAGTGGAGGGCTGAAGGGATAGCCTCTTGTGAGCAGAGCCCCTGGGGTGCCCCATGCCAGACACAGCCAGCTCAACAGATCCACTGCAGGACACAGCTGGTGGTGCCTCTGAGAAAGCTGCTGAGCAGTGAGAAGTAAGGAAAAATGTGAGAGAAACAACCCTGTAGACTCCCAGGTCAGTGAAGAAGGAGTGGATAAGGCGCTCCAGGTGCTGGTGCAGAGATTCCCTTGCAGCCCTCAGAGAAGGCCACGGTGAGGCAGGCTGTCTCCCTGCAACCTGTGGAGGACCATGGTGGAACAGCTATCCACACTGCAGCCCGTGGAGAACCCCATGCTGCAGCGTGTGGACAGGCCCTCAAGGAAGCTGCAGTCCATGGAGAGGAACCCTTGCTAGAGCAGGTTTATCCTGAAGGACCACAGCCCATGGGAAATGAACCATTCGGGAGCATGGGAAATTTCTGAGCACGATGGAGGTGCAAAGGGCAACTCTTACTAAGTTGTTGAGGATAAGGTGCATTTTCCTTCCCTGCTGTATGGCTGCAGGGGGAGAGGGAGAGGCAGGGGGATATAGAAAAGTCAGGAAAGAAAGAGTAAAGTTGAAACTGGGAATATGGGGAGTGATCTTCCCGTCTTTATCTCAACTCATGAACTTTTCCATCTTATTTTCTCTCTCCTGTCATGCTGAGAATGGGGAGTGAGACAGCAGCTAGCTTGGTGTCGGACAGCCAGCCAAGGTCAAATTCCTTAGAGGGGGGGGATATCGTTACTTACCAGCAAAGTCTCTGCTCTGCGCTCTACCCTAGAGACACATTACCTACAAAGAGAAGAAGCTGAAACAGGTGGCCACCAATAATTCCAATTCACAGGATTTTTCTTTGCTTGCTGCTGTGCTTCAGCCTCCATTCAATCTCCCAGTTTTGGACCCAGACAACACTTTCTTCACCACTTTGCCATCCCTGCAACATTAACTATCGTGGGTCACATACCCATAGCTGAGAGCTGCCCCCCTGCCAGCCGTGGAGCTTGCAAGGGCCTGTGGCAGAGCTGCTCTGAGCTTCCTGAAGAATTCGAAAGCAATACAAAACAGAAACTGGAAATGATCATATATCCGGCTCTGACGTCCTTCATGCTTTGGCAGGCATCATGGGTATTTGGAGCAGGAGAGGAAATGGCTATGGGAGCAGCTCCCTCACAGAGCTATTTACAGTGCAAAGGTCCACACAAAAAAGGCTGCAGTGCCTGGACTGCCAGAACAAAGAGCAAGGAAAGACTCAAGTCTCCTTTGCAGATGTCGCTTGTTCCAGCACTGCCTTCAGACCACAGTTGCTCTTTGTTACTCAGTAACAGCCTGTTCCTGGAAAGGCCTGTTCCTAGAAAATGCTCCAAACTCATCTTCTCAATCGCTGCAGGAGGTCAGTCCCACTACGGGAGATTCAAGAGATCCAACAGGAGGTTTCTTTGGACATGCTTGTCCCTTTTCTCCCCTCTGCACAGCATCATGCTGCTGCTGCCAGCACTGGCTGAAGAATTTTAAGTTTGTGGATTTGAAGTGTGGGATTTGAGGGGGATGGGGAAAATGGAAAGGAAAGTAGGCAAGCGGGGTGGGATGATATTTCCAAGCAGCTTTTCTCCACTGCTGCCTCCCCCCCTCTTCACTCTATCCCCTCTCCATAGGCAGATGCTCACCCCTGCTGGCTCCCCTGCCAAGATCCAGGGCTCCCAGTCTGCCCTAATCACGTGAGCCTTCAAAAATGTCTAGTAACGCCCTGCTTTCACTTTCCACTTTCTGCTCCTTGCATGGATTTTCCACTCATCAACTAACCCCAACTAGAAATAAACAGAGGTGAAACACTTAAAAAGTAGACAGAAATACTTTGCTGACAGGACAGGTCCTTCACCTTTTGCTGAAGATTTCTCTATTGGGTCTTGCGCATCTGTACATTTTTTTATATCTCTACAGCAATAACATAAAAAGCAACCTCATGCTATCTTTTCGCTCACACAAGAAGAAAAGATGAATTAATGAAGATACAAACATGGCTTACGGTGTGACTAACTCCAACAGACCTTAAAGCCAAGCCATGAAATCTCCAACTTCCTGTGTCTCTGACCCTCCCTGCTCAGCAGCAACCCCAGGAAAGCCGTCACAGCCCAGCATGTGCCACCTCCCTGGCAGGCTGCCCAGTTACCACCCTCGGGAACTGGGGACATCAACAGGTTGGATGAGCCTGCTGAACCCCTGCTCCACATAGGAAAGGTGCCCCAGGTGCAGTAAGACCTTTGAAAATAAAGTACAACTGGCCTGTGAGAACTCCTTGTGAACTCTCAAGAGCACATCTGTACCTCGCTGTCTCTATCGAAGCCTCTCTCTGTGGGACAGCACGGATACCTCTGTGCCACAGACCCTCAGGAAAACGGAGCTGAGTAACATTTCCTTCTGGTTACTGCGACATACGCATGCGCGTCTGCCAGGCATGAGCAGACCCGGCCAGGCACAGCTGATATTTTTGGCAGAAACATCTGCAAGATCAGCATCACTACGAAGCAGCATGCTTTATTCCCGCTGCTTGGTTCCCATCACTGCACACTATCACTTACCTTAAGCCAATTCCTCCCAACCTTCTAGCGACTGGGGATACTTGGGACCTTCTCCTTTCCTCAAGAAGTAGCTTCTGTAGAACATCACTCTTTGAAAGCCAGAAGCTGGTGTTGCCTTGCAAAATGAGCCCCAAACCTCAATGCAGAAAGCGGGTGCATCGCTCAACATGCTCTCCCCAGGTTGGTTATTACACTGCTGGGGGAATTGCAGTACTCAGTGCTGCAAGGAGCCACACAGACCCGTGTGTGCCAAGCACAGAGACCTGCAAGGCAGGCTCAGTCAGCCCTCTGAGCTGTGCACAGTTCCAAGTCTTTGCATTCCTGTACCCTGAAGTCTGATCCTCAGCTCTGCTCTTCCCCACGGAAATCAGAGAAGGGTTACGAGCTTTCCCGTCTGACCTGCAGCCTTTCAGTTTAAAAAGCTGACAGTGTTTCCCAGAAAAGCACTGAAGCACAAAGCTTAACAACAGGTCAAGTAATCTTGGCTATGCAAACTTGCTCAGATGCAAACATCACTTTAATTTTTTTTTTGTTATACGAATTGCATTCAGTTGGATTACCCAGAACATTTTTATTTCACGATGTTTCAGTCACACTAGATCAGTAGCTGCTGAAGCACATAAATCTCTGAGTTTCTGGAAAGGGTGCACTCTGAGTGCATTTTATGGATATGGTATTAAAAAACAGAAAAATCAAAACAAAATGCCACCAACGTGATTATGAAGTTGGACTTTCTTTCTTCCACATCTGGCCTCGTGTCTTGTCTGGCTTTTATCTCCACAGTAGCTTAACATTTATGCTTTCCTGCTTTCCTTTGACTGATGAGATTTATAGGATCAGGTCCTAGAGCTTCATTTTCCTTATGTGAATCCTCTAGTAAAATACTCTTCTGAACTGAAGCTAAGAGCTTCTGTATGCCTGAGGTAGCTGTAGGAAAAACATTCTGGCTTGGTAAAAAAATGTTTACTTAGGTTTGCTGGGAGCAGCATACCATCATCTCTAAGAGCAAACAACTCTCTACAAATTGGAGACTTGAGCTCACTGTAAACTGATACCTTCTGAACATTTTTTTTTTAATATTTTTATCCCTTTTAACTACAGTGTCATCCGTGGAGCTGTTGAACCTCTGATTTCTCTCTGTCAGTGCAGCAACAGTACTATATCTGTCTGCATTTCCAGTATCTGACAGGTCTTGGAGCAGACACCATATATATAGCCCTGCAGGATCATATTCCTGCACAGTCAGCAGAGGCACTCCAGAGTGGTTTCCCTACATATGTCAGATGATTTATCCTGTATAAAAAAACCATGGTCCACCAGGTAGGGTTACTTTGTTTCCTCCCAGGAATTTCAATTCTTGTTCACTTTTTCTCTTCAGCGGAAAGAGACAAAGAAGGGACATTTCACCCTTTCTCTGTGCCTGTCTGCAGACACACAGCATCTCTGTTGCAGTTTCAGACTGCTCCAAGGTCTGATGTGGCAGTACTGGTGCTACGGCACGGGCACGCTGTGCTCACAGGGGTCTTGCAGCATGGGACCAGGCTGGCAGCACCTCATGCTTCTATCTTGAGATGTAGAAAATCCCACAGATCAGGACCTAAGCAGACGGACTCAGGAAATGTTGGGGTGACCGGGCTCACCTGGTTCTGCAAGGTTTTCTGCAGGTTGGTTCCCTGGCCACCCACATGGGGTCCCGTCCATGGGCTGCTCTGGGAAGGTGTGCCAAGCGGTTCAGCTTTGCCAAAAACTGGCATGAGGAGGGACCAACTCTTGTCTGGGTTCCTGGAAACATTTCTAGATCTCATTTGAAACCACACTATAATTTAAAGCCAGTATCTTCTGCAACTTCTGATGGTTTTCTCAATAAGACTGGATTTCCTGTTGGACAATGTCCAGCAGCTTGTAAATTAAACTGGAGGAGGGGAAGTGGGGAAATGAGCCCTACCAACCACACTGCTGCTGTCCCAGCTTAATTCAGCACAGGAACAGGAAGCAGTCATAACAAGAATAACTCTCAATTGCTTTGAAAAAAAAAAAAACACCTAACTTACTTAGTTCCCAAATTTTACAAGTTTCAGTAGATGACATAGGATTTGTAAATGGTGCTTTGTTTTTATTGTAAGTACATAAATGCTGGATACAAAAGATTAAAAATGCTCCGTGTTCTGCTATTGCTCTCTCCAGCAGTCAAGAGAGGAGTCCGCATGCTACTTCCCATCTTTTAGGAAAAGATTAACAATTACGTGATTGGAAACAGCTAATTGCTGGTTTATCTGGATGTAATGTTGCCACATTAATAATGCAAACCAAAGTAATCCAATAACAGAAATCTCTCTTATGCCATTAGTTCAAATGAGCACTTACGTATTGAATCAGCAAGTCATCTGCCTGCAGATTTGAAGTTAAAGCTTTGATATGAAGTTGTTCATGTCTTCTTGCAGCACTAAATGATGCACTGATTCAGGAATCTGCCCAGGTCTCATCAGTGGTCTCATCTAACTACAGGAGAAATTGTATTTCACTGCAGTTGGGCTAAATCTTGGATTTTCAACTTCACTGGAGAGCAGTGAGGCTGGGAAGTTGAGGGAGGGATCAGGATCTATTCTGCCACATTCCAGCTGATATTCAGCTGGTTTTGTTTAATGTGTTTGTACATTTTAAAATGTCATTTTAGAAAAATAAAATTCAAAGTTGAAAGATAATTTCCAAGTTAAAAAAACTTATTCTGCTTATAGAATAATCAAAGTAAAACAGTCTGACTTTACTTTGTTAATATTTGAATTTTAAATGGTTTTAAAATATCTTATTAACCTGAATTTCTACTTTCTAGTAAATTAAATTTTATCTCCCTGCCTCCTCCTTTCCAATTCATCTGCCTTATCTCTAATTTGCTCTCCCCATCTCTTTCCCTTCATAAAGCTTGTCCACAGCACTGTAGCACTTCAGTTTGAAACTTGCATTTGGCTTCCATGTATCGGACTCTAAGAACTGCAACACGCTTCCTTTGTCTATTTGCCAAGTTAGGAAAATAAAATATTGTGTGTGTATCCACATACAATTTTACTCAGGACCGGGCTAGGCTGCAAAATTAGGATCTTGGTTTCAAAGACACTCTGTAGGCAAAGCAAGCTCATTTCAGAGAGCTAGTTTTTTCTTCTGAAAAAAGAAAAGGACAGAAGCAGATGTGACACGTGCATCCCAATCTCCACTGGCAAGCTTAGGAACACTTGCAGCAAGGTTTTGGCTCAGGTTCATCCTCATTTGCAGCGACTAAAAGAATAAAAGCATGGCCTGCTTTTGGAAGGATCAGAGGTGTCAGAAATGGAATAAGTAGATTTTATTGTCTCCTGTGAGTTCTGACAGTTTTCTCAATAAGTCTTGATTTCTTGTTGGACAACTTCCAGAAGTAACTGTAGTTTGTGTGTAAGATAATCTGAAAGGGTGGGAAAAAAAGGAAGGAAACTTAGTCCAGAGGAAATCCTGATATATGGCTGAAAATAGGAGCTACATGCAAAGGAAATCTGTACTAGACACTGCATGGAGCAGAGAGGTATTTCATTTACACGGCCACATCTGTGCCTTAACCATCCTGGCCTCTTCCCCAGGCAGACAGACCTCAGGCAGCACTTTCTTCTCCTGCCTGTCCTCCCCTAGGCCTTTCAGCAATTAAATTTGTTAATAAAAAGAGGTTACAGTGTCTGCCTGTCAGTGTCTCCATCCTAACTTTAGGTCTTGTTGCTCAGTCTCAGACAAATTTGACCCAGAGTAGGTGATCTCAAAGATACAATAAAGTTTAGTAGGAACCAGGGCTGGGGTGTGAAAGCAACCCTCTCAGTTCCCCATGTTGGTAGATCTCAGCCCTGTCTTTGTTAAAACAAATTTGGCTGTGGAGGCTGTGCCTTACAAAAGGTGCTGAAGGGGTGCCAGGGGTCATGATTTAGGTTTCATGAAGTCTGTTGGTCATGGAGCAATTTGCATTAGAGATGAGCCCTGGGAACAAACCAGCATCCTGAGTGTGTTTAGGTCCACAGTACTCAAACTCATACTTACAAAACAGGTTACGGCAACGGTCTGACATCTGCCTATGAATTAGGACATAGTAGACTGGAAAACCACTTAAAACCGTGGTGCATCCGATGCTAATGCTCACAGGGTCTGAGTAGAAAGACATTGTCACTGTGAAGAGGCAGATGATGGTAAAAGAGACAGGAACAAACAGGGGAACCTGGGGAAAAGAGTACAGAAGATTGTCAGGCAAAACTGATGGCTGTAGCAAATCAGCCTCCCTATGTGCCAGTACACACTATATTTACTTCTCCATCTAAAGAAGATAAGAAGAAGCATGTATCTGTCCTGCACAGTCCTCTGTACAATCAGATTGCCAACAATCATAGCAGATTCAGAGACCAGTGTGCTCTGTGAGGGGCATACCTCCTATATTCATGTGCATCAAAATATAAACCTCTCTTGCAACTGGAAACCAAGCAAGCAGAGAAGTCACCTATGCCCCATTGCTCCTGTGCATGCACATTTATCTGCTTGTCACCTAGGGCAACTGCTGGTGGAGAATCTGAAGCCAAGGATAGAAGTGACACTTTGAATCAAACTGTTCTTTAGTTATAAAACTCAGGACATATTTTGATCTGCCTTCAGCCTGCCAAAGACTTACAGTGACTAAAACAGGATAAGCCAGACTCCCTCTCTCTATGGTACCTGCACCAAGAACATGAGCTTCAGTGACACCCTGATAAAAGACAAAAGCAGTACTCAGCACTTTAGCTGTACCCTGCTGGATGAGCCAATTCATCCAGGTTATTTAGAGAGTAAATCAGAAGACTACGATAAATAAGAAAACTGTGAAACACCCTCTCCATCTCTGGATCCAAACTCAGCCAAGTAAATACCTCCTTGCCATGGTTGACAGAATGGAGGAGCTTGCTGGTCTCATCAAGGGTGACAATCTCTTTCCAGTAATAAAGATCTTATTTTGGGTGCTCACCATGCCAAGGTGGAAGAGATCAGTTGCTCTGGATATGGTAGCCATCCAGCCATCACACTTACATGCTCCTGCTGTCTTTCCAGCCAGAGCATTCCCTGCCAGCCTCTCCTATGGGTACGCACCCGTGCTGCATATTTGCTTGAGAGGCGAGTGAGAGGACTTCCTCTTCCTCTTACCGGTGTTTTCTCACCATTTTCAACTCAAAATGCTATAGGGAGAATAAATACCAGCACAGTCGCATGTGTGTCCTGTTTTGTTCTCTGGCCCACGGCAGGAGCCGGCCTGAGTCCTGCCACTAGAGCGCAGCATGTGCCCGCGCCACTTGAGCGCAGCTCTTCCTCTTGCAGAGACCTGCGCTGGGGCTTCAAGTCGTTGTAAAACTAGAGAGAGGAGGGCCGGAAAACAACCCGACTGACCCAAAGCTCAGTATTTCCCTCCCTTGCTTAACCAGCATTTAGGAGCCGTTTAAATTCTGAATCTTTGTCTAAAAAAAAGCAGGGCAAAATCTCAGCAACTGAAACCATCAGCACTAATAAACCTGCCCTGAGAAGCTTGGTTTGAAAGAAAAAGCAAAAACTGATTTAAAGTCTGGTTCTGGAGGCATGCATGAGCGCAGCCAGACAACAAACTAGGAAGCTTCAAGGTCTTTGCTAAACATGCTGTTTACAGCAAAGAGCAAGAAGAAAAATTACCCCAAACTTTCCATCAGTATGCTCATAGCCCAAGGAGGAGCCCTGGGAAGTGCTTCTGTCCCCCAAGGTTCTTGCTGACCATTTGCCCACTGTCAGTGGCCTTCGAGGTCTCTTCTCCTCCCCAGGCCTGGCTGGAGGCACCGTGCAGGCGTCTCCAGAGACAGGAACAAACTGGGCCTGCCTCAAGTACCACCCCGACCAAATGCCTTCTACACATTATCCAGCTGGGAGAAATGTGCCCCAAGTGTAAGAAAGTTGCTCAGCAACAACTCCAGCCGACACGAGGAAGATCTCAGCACCCAGTAGCTTAAGAAGGGCCACCAGGGGAGCCATTGCTTTATACTAGACGATATTTCTATGCCAGCAGATGATTCCCCTCGAGTCAAGTTTGCTCCCAGGACCCCTCTGGCCACTCTTTTTTCCCCAAGCCCAATACCTTCTGTTTTGTCAGCTAGAGCTGAGAATTACCTACCCCTGAAACAAAATCCAGGCAAGGGTCCCTACTTGTAGCCCACAAGAGATGAGTGTGGGAACTGCTTTCTCTACATCCCCCAGCTCCCAGTCTGAAATTTTGTCGCCTGGAGTAAGTGTTCTTTTAACACATGCAGCTAGTGACACCACATAGAACTGGTTTTACAGGATTTATCACATCAGACTGTTTGGGTACATCAACCAACTACAGGAGCTCTCCACAGGCCTTTACTGAGCATCAGGGATTGAGATCCTTAGAGCCTAAATGCAACTATGACCATGTCATGCTGTAATTACTAGCAAACAAAAGAGAGATTTGACAAGCCTGCACATTCCATCCTGCTGTGTGCATTACCTTGAATGGGCTGTGCAGCTCCGGGTGACGGTGGCGATGGACAATGAGCCCAAGGGTGGCTAATCCTATGAAGAGCCATCGGGAAAAGCTGAAGAAGTTCAGTAGATGGTAGATATCTCCAACACACACCATGGCAGTGACCAAAGGGAACTGAGCAGTGTGAAGATGAAACACAGTCATTAAAGCCTTGCTATGGTCCTCAGACTAGAAAGGGTAATATGGATCACCTCCTGAAGCCCCCCTGCAGCCCCAGGCAGCTACTTCACAGGCCCAACATTTCAGAGGTCAGAGAGCTTTACAGACAGTGTCACAGACTGAAGGCAAAAGGCCTAAACACACTCTTCTGTTGTGCTACAGAAAGGAGCAATTCTTTCAAGACCAGCAAAATCTTTGATGCCTTATGTCCAAGGCAGGGTAATTAAAACATGCAAGATCCAAAGGCCTGCCAGTACATGGGCTACCTACAAAGACAGTTGCTAAGTTTTCAGAGGCCAGCCAAGCTACAAGAGACACTGCAGCACAGTTAGGATGTAGCTGGACCACTGCCATTAAAAAAAAGCAAAAAAAACCACACCACAAACCAAAAAAAACCCAAAACAAAAAACAAACAAACAAACAAAAAACCACACAAAAACCCCAACAAACAAAACACCACTAAAAAGGATACCATCTCTGCAAATGCTCATTTGGGAATTTTCATTTTCCAAAAAGCCAAAGCTTATTGGTACTCTCATAGGACAACAATGAGCAGCAACTGTGGTAGGTGGTAGGGAGAGCACTTTTAAAAAAGGTGTCCAAGGTTATAAGGTAGAGACTTAAAAGTAGTGTATTTGGATATTTATGGCACTGCTGGCTCAAGGAGATGTAATACTTTGCAGCCATTTCCTGTATCATGTCTTCTTTATTTTTCAGAGGCTGAATTAATGTCTCAACAACCTTTAAAATTCCTCAGCTTGTCCAGTCTTTGCAGGAAAGCCAAGACTGCAAGAACAGAGCATGTCCACACAGCCAGATCTCCTTACCATTAACATGACAGCAGGGAGGGGTGTATGCTTTCGAATGTGGATCATGGAGAAGAGAGGAGGCCACTGTCCTTCCCTGGAAGCCACAAACAGAGTCCTAGGAAAAGACAGGGAGCCCTACACATTAGCATCCTACATCTAGACTAGAAATTAAATCAGTCACTGAACCAACCTGAGACCACAGGGCACCCACTCACTAACCCAGCCCAGGTCTCCTAGTCAAGGCCACAGTTCTGCCTTTAGCTGCACTTTCAGAGAATCATAGAATGGTCTGAGTTGGAAGAGACCTTAGGAATCATCTAGTTTCAACCACCTTGTCATAGACAGGGAAACCTTCCACTAGACCAGGTTGCTCAGAGCTCCACTTTGGGGGCATTTGGAAGAAAAACCCAGTGTTGAGTTTCCATAGCTCTCCCACAGCCAGTTAGTTCAACACAGAGCACAGCCCACCATCAGGTCTACTGGCAGAGTCCCCTTAGGTGTCTCATTAGCAGAGACCTTTGAGCAAGTCCAAATAGACCATGAGCAAATTCAGGCTGGAAACAGGAGCAAGAAGGTCTCTTACCATAAGAAAAGGGGTTAGTCTTTTCAATGTAAAGGAAGCGGAGGGATCACAACTTTCAGTCCTTTATAAGAGAAGCTGTTGAGTTTATGAAAGAGGATTGTCGGTCTTGATGCCTATATTTATATATGTATATATAATGCATATAAAAAAAATGAAGTGCAATTTCCTCAAATAATAGAGGATTTTCAATCCTCAGGTCAGCTGTTGGAAAACATATATTTTGTCATACTGCCAAGAGGCCAGCTACACACAAGACCAGCTACAAAATGAGAGCGTAGAGCTCCTTGCCTCCATGCCTCCTTTGACTCATGAAAGGGCAATTAGGGAGAAGGCAATTGCATCCAATTTTATAAATTTAATATCCACAAGCAAACCATGCCAGAGCATCAGCTGGGCTGGAGCAGGGCCCAGAGCAGCTGGGGCATGAGTGTACAACTGGTTTTATTGCTGTCTCTGTGGCTTTGCAGGGGTGTGGCTAGCAGGCAGCCAGGGAGGCCCCATGGATGTTTATATGCACTTTCTGCAGTGATTATGTTAATGATGCCAGGATGGGGGACAGAAAGGAGATAGGGAACATGAAGAACCTCTATGCTGTCTGGAGACTTCTTGTCCTCAAAAACCACTATCTAGAGGAACTAACAGGGAGGATTCTCCACACCTGTATTTAATACAGGACTTCAGATAGTGGATCAAATACCTCATTATCTTTCATGCTATGAAACATTCCTTTCATTTAGACTCACTTTTCCTTTTGCAATCAAAGCTGTGAAACAGAACCTGGTCCAGAGAGTTCTCTCAGTTCCTCAGAACCAGCACAACTTACTTCTCTGTGAGCTCTGTCCTCCTCTCCAACCTCAAGGGTCCCATAAGGATACAGAGTGTGGTAGACAATGAAGCTGGCAAGTTAATTTTTCCATGGAACAAAGCTTTTCTTATTGCTACAACAAGACTTTTTGAACATCAACTATTGTTTTAGGAATAGCCCATCCCAATAACATTTCACTGACCTCAAAGTCCTCAAGGGAGAGTTTGCCTTTGGGCAGAGATCCTCATAACAGAGGGACCCTGTGCCCTGCAGCAGTGCAGCTGGGTGAACCCAGTGAAAGAAGAGCTAGGTCTCACTGAGCAGCTGCCAACATCAACAAAGCTCCTAGTTCACCAGGAACATTGACATTTCACTTTAAACTGGGGATTTAACCTGAAGGGTAGGGGGAGAAGATAAAAATCTTTGTTAGTGACCAAACCTAGATGGCAAAGTCTAGGCCTGGCCACAAATAGAAAGAATAGAATCTTAGCCAATAGGGACCATCATGTAGGCGACAATGTGAGAGTCAAAAGTCTTATTTTTCCCACAAAAGTGTCTAAAACGCCATTAGGTGGATGGAGAGTTGCACAGGTTGCTGGTGCTTCCCTCTGATTCAGTGAGCCAAAGGAATAATAAATGTGTAGGGATGTGACCTTGAAAATGTGAAGATTCCTCCATTCATGGTTCCAAAGCAGGACAGTGCGACAAGGACAGGGACCACAGAGATCAGGCTTTTGAAGGCTCGCTGCACAAAGCTCTGTAGGAAGAGTAAGCCTGATTTCAGGAACATGTGGTGATCTCTAGAAGACATCAGGTTCAAAAGAGAGAAAACTCTACTGCTAAATCTCACTTTTTCTACTGTCACCTGCAGGCTATTTTTCCTTATCTTTTAGACAAGACTAGAAGAAGTTACTGTTGCCCAGTAATTCAGAGAAATTACAAAGCAACAAAATACTTTACAGGAAAACTACCTCTGAAAGTCTTGCCATGATCACAGCATAAGCTGACCACACTGAAGAGATAAGAGTAGGAGAAAAACTCACCACAGCCACAGCAGGAGAAGCCAGAACATCTTGTGTTCCCAGGACTGTGTAATAGGAGACATTGGTGAGCATGTACCCCACAATTACCGTGATCACGGAGATGATGACAGCCAGGGGAATATTTCTACAAGAAAGAGGACGACAGACACACAAAGAACACGCTGCTATCCCTTGCCATGCACAGTATTACTGCAGACTGTAACTGGCATTGGTTAGGTGAGCCCACAAACTAATTCCTCCCATACTGCTTTTGGGGAAGTGTGATACACCAGGAGCTGGTAACCTAAGAAGACTTCTTCCCAGCCTTACCGTTCAGGTCTGACCAACTCTTCGCGCACAAAGCTGGCCTGAAACCTGGGAAGAAACAGGGAGTCTGTTTGAGTCATGCTGAGGGCACCTGTCTGCAGCCCACAAAGCGCCCTCCCATTCCACCTACCAGCCTGAATATGCGAACATGCCTGCGTAAAAAGCAAGGGGGAGCTTATCCAAAACCAGTGACTCTCTGTCAAAAGCATCCTGGAAGTTTTCAGTGTGGCCTGCAGAGGAGATAAACAATGGACATGGAGCAGGGAAATGTCACAGACAGGTTTCCTTCCCTATGGGATAACATCCCCTTGTACCTCTTATCCAGACCTGGGAAGAGTGTTTGTGACTTCCTCGGAGCCAAGTATTCAGATTAATTTCATTGCTTTAATTTGCAGTGCTGTTGCTGACACATTTACTTCCCCACAGTAACAGAAAAAAAATCTATCCTGTGTCCAGCTACAGGAGACGTTTCAAGAAGAGCAACAGTGACAGATGGTTGTTTCCAACAGAGCCTGCTATGGGAACAGGAGATAGTGGAGAGGAGAGGACTCACGTAGTCCTGCCCTTTCTTCAGGCACAAAATTAATTTTCTGGGTTGACCCCCATCTTCCTTCCCCAGCCCCCTAAGCAGCTGGACACACACTCCTCTTTGATGTGGTGCAGCCAGCGAGGCGGCAAACTCGGCTCTCACTGTGTTCCCTCCTGTTCCCGCTGCTGGAGTGCTGACCCCAGCCCTGCACTGGCCAGAGCATGGGAACCAGGGTGGAGGAGGGAACAGGAGCAGGGACTGCCAGCCTGGCCCCCCATCCAGGCAGGTTCCCTGCCCACCACCCCTGCCAGCCATCACTGCTTGCCCGCAGGAGGACACAGAGGGAAAAGCAAATAAATTTAAAAACTAGAGGTGGCTCAAATAGAAAATATGTTTTTCCAGCTCCCTCAGTTTTCCTACAAGTTCTGTGCTTGTGAAATAACAAAACAAAACATAACAAAAAAACCCCCTAAAGTCAGGATTCTCTTACTCCAAAAAAAACAAAACCAAAAACAAACAAAAAAAATAGGGAAAAGATAAATGCCTAATGGCCTCTCATTCAAACATAGTTAAAAATAGTTGCATTTCCAGCATTTTCAAATCTGGTTGGCTCAAGGTATGGTTCCACATCTATATTCAGTTTTCCATACTAAAGTCTCTTCAAAAGTAAGAGATGTGAAGCTTGTCTAGTTGGATTTCATCAGGAAAGGGATGAAATGGCATGGAGCATTTGGAAAAAGTTAGGCCTCTTCTAGGGAGATGCTTCTGCAAGGAGTTCAGTGACGAGATTTGAACATTTTGGTTTGTAATGCTGGTCCAGCAAGTCTCTAAAACAAACCTGAACCAAAGAGAAGATAACGGCAGAGGAAAGGATAAAAGTGGAAAAAAAAAAAAAAAGGCAGAACAAGGCAGGGGAATTAGGTAAACCAAATTAAAAGGACAAAACTGATTTTTAATTTTTAAGCACAAAAGAAACGAAGTCCAAATGAAAATAGATTTGAAACAAAATAACCCAAAATGTAGGAGTGGGCCTGTTGGGGTACACTTTTTATGTTCTGAAATGATGGCTGATAAGTCATGGTGCATAAAACAGATTTACTGCCTGCACTGCATTAATAAGTGATTTACAGTCCCTTGTGAGTCACATTAAATACAACCTGTCATACTGGGGTCTCTTGGTGAATTCTCCCTCCAGATGTCACTAGCACTTATCCTCCCCACTGGAGGACTGATGCCAGGGCTCCAGATTGTTGTTTGAAGGCATTCCTAATAATAATGGCTTGGGATTTCTAGCTGCAGGGCAGTCCTTCAGTTCAGAAGCACTGCCAGCCTGGGGGGATCTTTGCATGTTCAAAGGAGCCACTCCAGACATCAGAAAGAAACATGAACATGGAGCCCACTGCCTGTGGTGTTTTCTTCGCAGAGGAAGGTAACAGCATGAAGAGGAAGCAAGCTTCTTCCCTTGAGTGGGAATGACTTGGGTTTTTCTATAAACTAAGGCTTGGATTAAAGCCAGTACTCTTGTATCATTCCCAGAAGATACCACTGGTAGGGTTTTTTAGCCCCCACTCTGGATGTCAGCATGCAAGCCTGCAGGATTCCATTGTGAATTCCCTTAATTACTGCCCGTCTGGATTTGGAGGGAAAAAAACATCAGCATAAGCCACAGAAAGGTTAGACATGCCATTACCGGGGTTCAGCTGAGGAGTGGTAACTCATTGCACAGCTGTACCTGGCTCAGGTCACCATGGGATGCTGTCACACATCCCTAATGTCCATCAAATTTGTGCTTTGGAAAGATTTTGAGCTGAGAACAGGCAAGTCTGACTCCAAAGAAAGACCATCTGCAGAGCAAGGTGCCTGTATGACCCTGGGTAGGATCATACAGCCACAGGCACTAAGACCCTCTCAGTTTTGGAGAAAGCACCACCAAGCCAGGTGCATCAGCTCAGTGCTATGATGTAGCTTAGTGACAACTACACGGGCCTCAGATTATCTCCCAGATAATTCATGTCCAGCACATCGACAGAGAAAGCTCCTGCCAGCTAAATGAGCACCACACTTGTCACTTGGGATTGATAAAAGCTGTAACAGGCAGGCACATCGAGCACCCTCCCTCAGCCATGCAGCAGCAACACCTACCCTGAGCCAGCAGCATCATCCCTGGCACGATGATGAGTGCAAGAGCCAGGAGTTTAACAACGGAGAGAGCTGTCTGCAGCCGGGCGCTCCAGGTGACACTCCAGGAATTGAGGGTGAGGACCATGTCTGGAGAGAAGAACACACTGCTACAGCTGTAGCCCATGTCTGACACACACAGGAAAAATTACAAAGGCGCTCTCTGCTCTAGGGATGCCGGGAACAAGGCTGCATCTTTATGCCTTAAAGAGGGTGCTCAGGGTGAGAGATGTCAGAAAACATCACAGGTGTGGCCTAGTGTACAGCATTTGAAGGGCAAGCTGAGTTATGCTCCTAAAAGAGACCAGGAGCCTGATTCCTGCCAGGCGATCCACACCTGCCTCAGGGAAAGGTGCAAGACTGCTGGGACATCTCTGTAGATGCACTGCACAGCAGTGCCTGTGCCAGCACACAGCGGTCCACAGCAGGCAGGACAGGGTCACAGGCTGGATGCACCAGGCAAGGAGTTCAAAACCTTGAGCCTTACACCCTCTATCCATGTGGCATTTGCACAGCTATACATGAAGAGTCTCTGCTCCCATATCTGGCAAAATCCCCCTGACTTAAGGCTCCAGCTGCTCAACTGGGGGGCCCATTCCCCTTCCCGGAGAATACAATGGCACAAAACCATCAACAACCTTGGATCAGAAAGTTTTGTGTAGCCAAGGAGGTAACACGGGACCCAGATTCCACCATTATTCTAGAAGATAAACTCCCCTTAAGTGTCCCTGGTCTGGGGCAGAGAGGCTCCAGGACTGACAGTCCCATAAATGTTAGTACTTACAGTACCCCAGGAGAGACACGAGCTTCACTGCAGGGACAGGGGCTGCGCAGGGGGCAAAGAATGGCTCCAGCATGTACCGTCCAAATGCCAAGGAAACCACAGCACTGTTGGCAGGCCTGGAGAAGGGTGGGAGTGGGGGAGGGAACTGAGAACAAACTGGTCTGGGGACGGCCAAAAAACGGCATGAGGTAAAACTGCACAAAACTCGGGAAGGGGGGCAAGTTTCCCCATCTGGCTTAATCTTGCTCACCCATGCAGATGGTGAATTCCCAGAGCCTTTTTCATGGTTTTTTCCTCAATAAATGGGTTAAAAACCACATGCTTCAAAAAGATTAATTCCCAACTTGAAAGCAAAAGTCGAGATTAATCATGCTGAGCAATGTGGTGTGGTTCATATGTCCTGCATCATCTCAGCTTACACGAAGGACACAGGTTATTGAGAAGTGAGGACTTCCTTTTTACTGTTAAAAAAAGAAGTCATTCGCAATGTTCTAAATTATTTCACTTGGGGCCGAGCCAGAAAGTTGTCTCCACTTTCCCAATCTGGAGAAACCAAAAAAGTTTCACAATGAAAACAGAAGGTCTGAAATAGATCTGGCATCTATTGTCAGTCTCTGAAAAATACCATGGCCCTTGGGGGAAACCAGCTGCCAGGGGAAAAGAGATGTTCTTCAAGCACAAAATATATTGAACATGTGTAACTGTTTACTCATTATGCCTTCTTTTTATCACTGAAAACTCTTCAGAAATTGTTCCATTTGTTTCTACTCTTTCCTTTACAAACTGCCTGGACTGTTACCTGGCACCATAACTTTTATTTTTTCAAATTGTCACTGCATCCAGAAAAAGACGAACAAGCAAAATCTCTTACCTGATAGCAAAAAACTCTGCCCACAGGAATAAGAAGCTTGGCAGAGGCCCTAGTGTCTCCAAAATGTAGATGTAATGCCCTCCAGACTTGGTGATTCTTGTTCCAAGCTCTGCATAACACAAGGCACCTGGAGAAGTTGAGGTAAAAGTGTCTCAAGTAAATCATCCCATGGATTTTCCCTTTTCTGTGTGACTTTTCAGGGATTGAACGAATACATTTAAAGTTGGTAGTAAATTAAAGTTAGTAGTAAATTAGAGGAAGAAGTACAAGTCTTAAGCCCTGCCTATGTTGGATTTTCTTAAGGTAAATTATTAATCCTCTTCTCATCAAAAGAAATCCTAAAACACCTCTCTTCATTGAGCACGACTCTACTGTGGGATGTGACCCTGTGAAGTAGGAGCAGCTCTAACTGTGCTGTCCACTTCATCAGCCAGCTCAGGTGGCCGTGGAAGGAGAGTGCAGGAACCTGGTGGTGATATGGCCATGCCTCCAAGTCCTGTGGCAATCATGCCATATTCATGTCATGCCAGTGTCGGCAACCTCAGTTTTTCCTGCCTCTCTGTTGGGAAATTTGTGCAGAATCCCCATGAGAAGCATAGAATGTAGGCAGACAGCTTGTCTCATTTTTTCCAGTGGGTCCCTTTATGTGCTTCAAGGATGCATTTAAGTGCTTTGCTGAACTCATGCAATGGGACTTGCAATGCCCCACTTGAAAGAAAAAAAAAAAAGCGTAAAAGACAGCAAGCCTTTCTAACATACTGCAAAGGAATGTCAGAGAAATGATCAGGGGAGGTCATCAAGCTGATAAAAGGGAAATAAAAACCCAACAAATTCAGCTACAAAATACAATAGCTTAATAAAGAGGTTCCCAAGGCTCTTCCAGCAGAGTCTATCAAGGGATGCAAAGGAGAGAAAAACCTTTACAAGTGCAGAGCTTGGGCTGCGTGATTAGCACACACAGTGTCATTTACTGCTCTGCTTGGTTAAAAGAAACACCATGCTCACATGATATCGTAAGATTTTCTTCAGGTAAAAGTGTATCAATCACCAACCACACATAGGCTGCAACGGGAAATATTGTACATACACTAAGAGCAAGAACCACTCCTGTTGCCATATTAACAACTGAATGTCTAGTTTTCTAAACTTGCATGTACATGTCATGGTGTCAGTGTTTTTTTTCACATGGAGTATTTCCCCTTTCTTGTTTTGTTTTTTTTTTTTTTTTTCCTAAGTTACAGCAGAAGAAGAATGTTAAAGTCACCCATGTAATAAGCATCAGATCTCTCTCTCTTGGGCTGAGATCTTGCAATTGTACTATTATCACCTTTAGAGAGTTTCTGAGACGGTGATTTTAGGCAGTTAATGAAAGAAACCACAAGCCATGTGTTTTATCCATTGTAACTTTAGGAGCTATATTATTTCAGAAGAACTAAAATGAAACTGTCATCACAAAGACAGCCCTTTATGAAAAAAGACAAGTATTAAATGCCAGAAAACAAGCCAAGGGTACTGCACAGAAAGTGGGGCTGAACTGATCTGCTCCATCTCCTGTCCCAAGGCAGGATCAGACATACCCACACCATCTCTGATAGACACACAGACACCCACCCCCAGCTGGTGGATGCTCTGTAGCTCCCCAGGCACTCTGCTCTAGTGCTTCGCTATCCTCTCCAACAGAAAGGGCATCCCACGTGGCATATGGAGACTGCCCCTTCTCGCCCTTCTCACAGTGTCTATGAAAAGCACAGCACAGCTCTTCCATTCCCTTTTAGGTGCCTACATCTCCCTTCCACCTTATAAAACGAGTCCCCTCATTCTCCCCCAGGCTGAGACACCACCTGCAGTCACTGTCACTCCTCTGCCTTGGACTCGAAGGTGAATTGATATTCACAGACAGTAAGTGCTGGAATTCTGTCAATCACCTCAGGGGAATCATTTGAACTAAAGACCACTAGTAATCACCCTCTGGCTTGTTAAATCTTTGTTTCTATTGCAGTAGGAATCAAGAATTTTGAGTTTATTCGTCCTCCAAATTTGTATACATGAAAATGTGCAGGCTCTCCTCACCTCCCAGGTGCTTAAGTAAAGGCTGACAAAGCTCCCCACTCACCAAACATTGAGAGGACCCCACAGGCGAACCAGACAACCAGGGAGAAACCCACAGTGCCAGAGTTTTTCAGTACTCCTTTTGGGGAGATAAAGATGCCGCTGCCAACCATGCTGCCGATGAGGAGAGAGAAAGCCCTCAGCAAAGTTATCTTTTTCCTCAGAAAAATGGCCTCTTCATTCTTGTCTTTCCCCATGGTTTTCTTCTAATTGCAGGGGAAGGTCATGAATTCAGGAGCTACAGTCTCTCAAGTGTCCTCAAGGCTCACCTGTAAGACAAAGAGTCAGGGATTCGAGGATCTTCTTTTCTGGACAAGATTTTTTTTCAGAAACCTGTCAAGATCCGTTGAATCTGTTCTCCGCAACTGCAGGATGCATCAAACAAACACAAGTGCATAGAACGCAAGTGGTATCATCTCTCACATCAGCACAGCTCCCAAGAGGCACTTAGTGTTTTCTTTCTCTTCTGTCAAGCAGCACAGAGCATTACATGTTGCGTGCCACATTTCAGGGTATGATTTCCAAATTTGACTTTGATGCCCAAACTGAAACTGGCCAGGTTAAGGTTAATTTAAAGGGACCTAATTTGGGGGCACATTGCTTTCAGCTGGCCAGCAGAAAACAGATTTAAAGTTGCAAACCTAACAATCAAGACCTTGAGGATCTCTGAGTTTAAAAAACATTAAGCTGTATTAGTTGGTGTGCACAGATGATTTAACCTTTTTTGCTTTCTATCCACCCTTCCTAAATAAACAAGCCTTGTTTTTTCTCACTAGAGTTTCATTTTATCAGTGTTTCTTAATATGGTGTCAAGCCTTTTTGCTATCAAAGTATTGAAGAGTCAGAAGTAAGCACTGTCCACAATTGTAAAGCAGAGCATAGCCATTACTATCAGATGTGTCATTTCTTCTGTTAATATAAAAACTTTCTTGGTAATAGAAGCAGTGAAGTTTTTCCTAGAAAAGAGGGAACTTCAGACACTTCAGGGATCACATGAGTTGACCCAGATCTAGTTCTCTCCCAGTGCAGCAACCTCCCATCTCCCTGCCTTGTCTCTCCCATCTCTCTCAGTCCTAGGCTGGCACCTTCACCAAGAAACTCACCTTTTGCTCTAGGTAGGTAAGGCGAATTCAGATCAGTTACTACAGTCCAATTTGCTGCAGCAAACCTGTCTGTAGTTTTTGTAACAGCAAGGTAGATACTTTACACTGCTAATTATCCCTGGTAGAGCAGGCAAGGCGAGTCTGGAATAGATAATCTGCACACATCCCCACCAATGCTCAGCTGCAGTGCTTTTTTTTCATTATTCTAATGCAGTAAATTGCAAATATATATAAATTATATATACATATATATATATATATGCCCCAGCTACATGTCTGTATACTACAACAAAGTTACACTGTACATGAGACTCTATTTTATGGATTTCTTGAATTATTTAATAATTGCAGTGGTGTGTCTGTGAGGAGACAGTGGTCACCTATAGAAGCCGATTTAAGCAGTCAGAAATTGCTTTCTTGATATTCTGTATTTTCCACTTAGAGATATAAATGTCCCCATAACTCTGAGGGGGACAATTCTTGTTACCAGTCGCCCACAATACTTATTTGCATGCCCTGTGTAAACTCAGTGTAACCAAGGGCTTTTCTCCCCCATCCCCAGCTATTTTCCCACCTGGAAACCGGCAGGAGGAAGTGGGGGTTATCACTTTCTCTGCACACATATGCCTAGCACATGCAGAAAGCCCTCTCTCCTGCCAGCAGCATGAGCTGGTTTCTCTGAGATCATGCCAAGCCTGCACACGCATCTTCTCGATCAAACCAGCCAAGTTCAGTTATTAAACCTCTAATGAGTCCCGGAGGACCCTTTAGGCTCAGATGGGTCACATCAGTGTTGTCTGGTCCCACAGAACTGCTCCTCAGAGTCCCAAAACCTCACAGGGCTGCTGGAGACAGTGGTTCTGGAGGAGCTTCCCAACCCCTCAGCTGCAGTTCTCTCAGACACCAATTAATTATCGTAACGTGAAATACCAATATCATCTGGTATTTCTCAGCCAAAATGAGAACCACACAGCATTCATTTGCAGGGGTGAAATACAGAGGCTCACCGAATCGAAACTGAAGAGAGATGCTGTGCACAGCTGTGCCTAAAACACTGTTCTGAGATAATTAAAAGGGCACTTATCTGTTTGGCTGGGCTTTAAACCAAGCAGGTGCATTTACAATCCATCAGACTCCCATTTCTTGCTGGGATCCCGAAGCAGCAAAAGATAGCGTCTCTTTGCAGGCTCTGAAATTACACAGAGAGAGGAGGGCAGGAACAAAAAAAGGAGAGATCAAATCAAATTTACAGACCAGGTTAATGATCCAAAGTAAACATCAAACTCCGTACTTCTGTCCACATGGGGTTTTTGTTTTGTTTTGTGTTTGTTTTTAATACCATTGCCATGCAAAAGTATTTGGAGATAAAACAGTCCAATCCAGTAAATCTGAGAAACATGAAATCTATCAGAATTTGTTCCAGAAGCTGTTGAAGGAAGAGGAAAAAAAGGGGTAAAAGGAAAAAAAATAAAAAAAGTAACAGAAAGCTATTGAATAAGACTTCAAAGAGTCACCTAGCAGAGGCTACCGCCTGGAGAGACCATTCCTGCCTGCTCTGCTTTCCAGCTACATTCCAACACCAGGCACATTAAAATGCAGAGATGTTAATCCTTGTGGCAATGCTTAAGAATATTCACAATGTGCTTGGCACAAAGGAAATAGGCAAAGCTGCTCTTTGTTCCCCCCTTTGACTTAAGAGACAGGTTCAAATCCTTCTTGTCCCAGTGCGGGGTACCTTTGCATGAGACAGATGATCAGTCTGCAGGGCTGGAGAAAAACGTAGCTCAAACCTATTTCACAACTTATCACAGGTACTGGATCTTTACTCCCTTGTTCTTCGTTTATACTAACTTTACTGCTGGTTTGGTGTTTTTAGCTGTTAATCTTACCTCACAGGCACTGCAGCATGGACGGAGATGGAGAAGACAGGCATAAAGAGAAAATCATGTCTGTTATTTGTCTAGAAGCCCCAGCAGAGAGCAGGACCCACTGTGGTCAGCACAGAGGGAGAGTAGATGTTACTCTGCTGAAAAGCTAGTGAGATAAACAAGCAAGTTGGAAAAAGCAGAGGAGGGAGACAGCATCATTCTCAGCTGGGGAGCTGAGACCTAGAGCAACCAGTGACCTTCCTCCTCCTATCACACAGAAAGCGGGTGGCATCCCTAGGAAACAGATTGTACCTCCAGAATTCCACTTCAATGACCTATCTCCCCAAAAAACACCCTAGCTACTAGGGAATACTCCTAACTAGTTACAGCTGTTTTCTTTGTGTGGGCCTCAATCAATACCACACAGCCAAGAACAGGTTAACCCCTTCCTTTTCACACTGCAAAAGATACAGGCGTCAAACGGTTCCTCGCAGTCCCCCTATTTTTATTTTTTTTTGTGTGCCAAAAATGTCACTCCAATTCAATGTCCACCACAAGGCACAGGATCTAACTAAATAAAATCAGCAGTGAATGGAAGCTTTTTATTCATGCATGAAAGTAGCATAAATAAGCTTTAATGAGGCTGGTGGTGGTCTGTTCTGGGAACTCAATCAGAAAATCTATTTAGGAGACCTGAGAGATGTTTGTTTACAGACCAAAATGAACACAAGAAACATGCTGAAAGGACAAGACATGCAGCTCTACTGCTTTTCAGCTTTCTACAGCTGGTTTGCCACCCTGGATAAGAAACTGAAAGGGACAGTAGGTAATAAATCAGACTCAGGCTCACAACCCCAGATGTAGTAATAAATCCATGCAATTGCCTTAGGTGTCAATGTAAAAATAGTTTCCATCGGCTTCTCTTTCTACAGAGTTTCACAAATATAGTCTTATGAGTTGTCTATCAAGCAACTACTATTTCCTAACATTTCTGCCTTAATGACTTTTTTTTTTTTTTTTTTTGCCTTGACTTTAAAATGGCTCTTGGCTCAGGTGACACCACGTTTATCATCTCATTCAGGCATTTCCAGTTGTCCTTCAGACAAGAGTGACTTTTTCAGGAGAGGAGGCCAATGATATGGTGAGTCTGGACCTTTTGATGATATGAGGATGACCTTTTAATTGAGAACCTGAAAGTGTTGAATCCACACTTTACCCCTTTGGCTAGAAATTAGACTAAACCTAGTCTGGCTTTCAAGCAGTTAAATTGCTGTTGCTTTCAGGGTTCCTTCCTACCAGGATTTATATTCTACGACAAGTTTAAAGTTGTTCATTATGACCAGTCTGCCAAAGCAGACACTTCAAAAGAAGATGTTTTAACAATAATATGTCAATTATATTATTATATTATTAATAATTAATATTATAATTAATTTTCCATAATATTCCATTTCAGTCTCACAAGATGTACAGATCATATAAGTGTCATCTCACTTTTCTAAGCATTCAAGTATAACTCTCCATTCAAATGCCACATGGAACTTGTACTTCTATGTATCTAGAACTAATTTCCCATTACTGTTGTGCAGGAATATTGGCCCTCACATGTTGCCAGTGACACGCAAAACACAAATACGGGAGAGATGCACAAGTGATTAAAATAGATTCAAGTATTCTTCTACAACAATAACTATTAAAGACTATCAGGAAGGTGTACCAGCATCCCTGTGAAATGAGCTAACATCCATACGTTTCCCTTTCTTACAAGCAGCAGAAGGGAATACCCAAGGCACTTGCCTCCCAGACTATCAGACCCAAAGCAGCAACACCCAGAGGACCAGGCACTGGAACACACGAATCCAAGGGACAAAAAAAAAAAAAAAAAAAGCCACTTAACAAGATACTGTCTCACGTAGTGGTGCTTCCTGAGGCAATCATCTTGGCTCCACAGTATCTCTTGTGGGGCACAGTGCAGGGAACTGTCCTTAGAGGTTTGTTCTTTTGTGGATGGCTCTCCAAGTAGCAAGCTGTTTTCACTCTCCAGATCAGACCTCCTCCCTGGAACAAGACAATTTGTCCTATTTGAGACTGTTTTCTTAGCTGCGTAAGACAGAACACAAACAAAAATAAATCTAAACATTTCTAGCAGAAGACACCCAACAGAGAAGTTAATGCTGTAGCAAAGTACAGCCAAAATTTTCCCAAATGAGAATTCTTCTCAAGCGCTTCAAATTAAAAAAAAAAAATCCCATAATAGAGCAATATCCCCCCTCATTTCAACAGTTTATGGCACTGCATCGGTGCTGAAGTCTAAGGGTTTATCTGCCTTTGGTCTGGAGCCGGGCAGTGCCAATGCTAAACAGCTCTAGATCCCGCAGGGAAAATTCCTCCATGAACCAGGTCTTTGTTCTACCTCCTGCCTTGGCTGAGGGCTCTAAAAGACACTGCTTCCTAGCCACTGCTTTGTGACCTAGCAAAAACAAGTTCAACAGCTTCAAGCTGTTGTGTGGGGAGCTGTTACTTATCCCTAGGACTGTCTCTCTGTGGAATTGCTATGGTGGGGGTCTTTATCAAGACCAGTATTCCCATCAGTGACAGGCCAATGGCACCATCATCCAGAACCACCCAGTGCTTTAGAGTGGCAGACTAATCTCAAAGCCTCTCCATAAATATTCTCCAAGAACAAGACACGTTTCCTGAATGGGGGAAAATGCCAAAATGGCCATGTTCAGTACCAGCTCTCCTCACAAAGAGGTAATTCCTCAGTAATGCAAGCTATTTTACCTTGCTATGGAGGCAGCTCTCTCCACGTGAAACTCCTTCTAGAGTCAGAGGAAACCCTCCTCTGCTTCTACTATTGTCAGATGGTGGGCCCCATTAATGCGGGCTCCTGATCTACCCCTGCTTTAACCATCTGGAATGGAATCCTTTGAGAGGTAACTGCAGTAATAAGACTCCTCTTTCCATATTGCCTCATATATTACACTAGTTTTTCCCTTAATTTCACTGCAGTGCTGTTGATTTATCACCCCAGGTCTCCAGCTCCCCTCAGACTCAACCACAGCGCATGGGTTTGCTCCTTCTCTTTCCACCTTTAGGGAATTCAAAAGAAAATTTAAACACTTAAAACCAACAACTCTTTACACCTGCATCAGCCACTCACTTTGACTGCTCCTCACTGCCTAATACATAGTTAATCCTCTGTGTATTATGCTAAATCACCCACTCTGGCACCTGACTTGCATGAAGCCCAAACTCTGCCTTGATCATACCTCAGGGTGGGGGGGACTTTCTCTTTTTGGCCTTTCTGCTCAGCTGTTACTCATTTATTAAAATACAAGCCAAATATACAATTACACTGGAAGGAACACGTTTCCTTGTTAATCCTTTTTGGCCCTTACCCAGAATTTGTCAGGCTACGGGGATTTATATTTTACTATGCAAAGTTTCATTAATTGCTCACCATTCCCCGTGCCTCTGATGGAAGGAAGGGGAACAAGAAGGGTTTTCTCTGACCAGAACCACTACTTCATCCCCCATGAGACAATACAGGAACACATGTCCCAGTCTGTCCTGGGTAACAGGGAGCAGCAACTTAGACAGCAGAAAGAAAGGGCATTTTCTTTCTGGTCAGAAAGAAAATGGGAGTTATGCTCAGCCCTGCCAGCACATTCAGGGCATCTCTAACCCAGATGAGGCTATGGACTGTGCTGGCAGCTGCCAGACAAGTGTCTTGGTGGCTGAGAGGAGTGGGAGAAGGTTTTGTTAAGGATAGCCATTAATGGGAGCATGAGGGAAGAGAGGAGTGGTGTGCATGCTCCAAGGTGGGAGCAGCTTGGGCAGAGCTCTAACCCCTTGCCTGAAGGGAACATCTGCAGCTGTGCACAGAAATCCCACACATCATTATATCTCCTTGTTTAGAAGAGGTGAGGGAATGAACTTCTGTCAGTGGAGTACCCAAGCCCTTGCCAGCTACAACCCATTTTACCTGTAGCAGAAGTGCAAAGAGAGAGAAGAAACACCCACTGAAGGGCCAGTAGAGTCCTGATCACAAGGAGGATCTTGTAGAGCTTGCTACAAAGTGACATTTGGCACAGTATCATCTCAGGAATGAGTATGCAGCCCCTGCCAGCTTCCCAGAGCCAGAAGGATGGCACCACAAACTAACCAAACACCTAAATCACATGTTTTTTCAGGTAACATACAGGCCACCCCCGATTTTCACTTGTATTTAATGAGAATCAGATTCTAGGAACAAGCGTGTCAACAAAACCAGATCAACATGCTCACTGGAAAGGTTAAGTCAACACAAGGGCATGTTTATTCAATTTTAATGTAAGTACAGTTGTAGAAGTATCTGCTGGAAAGGACTTCTGGGTGCTTCTGGTCCTGTCTCCCATAAGAAGCAGGACCAACACTAGCTCAGATGGCTTTGTCTAGCCAAGTCTTAAAACTCCTCAAGGTCAGAGAGTCCTTGACCTCTCCGGGTAACCTGTTCCAGCGCTACACCACCCTCCCAGTGGCCACCCTCAATGTCCCAATCACTTCTTGTGGTTGTCATTGACTCTGGAGGCCTTCAGGAGCTCAATGTCACGTGTCTGTGCATAGACCAGCTCATACTGGTCTTCAGTGATGGTCCTTGCCACCCCTTCCTCTCCTACAAACAGGGCTCCACCAGCCCCCAGAGATTCACTTCTTTTCAGGTTTCCCTTAAGTCCATGGACTCAACACAGCTGCAGCTGTGATGGCTTAAGCCATCATAGACAGCTACAGAGGCAAGTGAAAGGCACCAAGTGGATGTTCCCCTCCAACCTGGAGGCCCCAGTAGGCACTCCAGCATGCCTATGACATCCCCCGAGCCCCACATCCAAATGACCTCAAGCCCTGGAAGCTCTATTTTTGGCTTTTTTTTTTTTTTTTCTCCTTTTTCCATCCTGGACTTTGAACCTCCCTATGATCTTGTCCACATGATTGCATCATTCATGGCAGGTAAGGTTAGCATGAATAGAAGGGAGAACAAACAGCACTTCACACAGCATGCCGGCAGCTGGGAGAACCTGAAGCCAGCAGAGGTTACAGACCCCAGTCAGCTCTAATAAAGACCTGCATCACTGGAAGGGCAGGAACTACAACTGGGATTATTCATGTTGAAACAGAGATCACCGCGTCTCCTGCTTCAGAGGCAAATCTGAGCACTGTGGGGTATCTCAGGAGGAGGTTTCCTTCGTGCACAACGCTGAGCTCTGGGCCAGGACAGCTCAGCAAGGCTCTACTGCAGGCCATACAAAGGAAACACCATGTGTTTTCCTTGTCACTGTGGCTCAGCACAGATGCAGAATATGTGTGGAGAGAGGAAGGAAACACTTACAGGATTGGGCCATAGCCACAAAAGGCACTCAGATTTGGGGTCACTATGGCCAGTACCAAGGAGTCACCATCCTTAATATGAAAAATCTGAATTCAGCTCCTCTCCTGGATGCCATAAAACAATACCAGCCAGAATATCCCTACCCCTTGGCCTCTTCACACAGCTCCATTTTGGGAGTACTTGCTGCACTGGGACCAGCAGTTCAGACCTCTGCTTGTTTCTGTCCCCAGCTGACTTGCCATGAAAGACAAGAACAGGAGGACTGTTCAGGACAGCTAGTCTAACCAGATAAAGGTGGGACAAGGAGACTGTTTACCTGAGGAAGATCACTGCTCTGGCAGGGGCTGTGGCACTATCAGCAATGCTGGCTGCCTTGTGGGATCCTCTCCGTGGCATCAGTGGTTTATGAGAGGTGCTCCGTGTGAGTGAGAACATGACAGAGGGCAGGACATCTGTACAAATTCCAGACTGATGCTGCTGCTTAAATATAATTATGAAAAATAATTAGGAATTGAACTGAGAAGGCATTACAAAACAGCTAAGGAGAAGGAAAATAAACTGGCATGCTGTGATGGATGTAAGCATGTAACAGCCTCCACATGTCACTGGGACCAGCACAATCTGTACCAGCTGAGGTGCTGCTTCCAGAGACAGAAAAACACTTTCAAGGGCAGCAGCTGCACAACTGGGGCCAAGCCCTTGTTCCCTGTCACAGTGCTGGTGAACCATGTACGTCTCCCCTGCCACACGAAGACGGGTTTTCAGGGACACAGGGCCTCTGGCCACAGTTTGGGCTTCTGTGCTTGTCAAAGCTTGGGACTGAAGCATGATCAGCTGGGATGAGTTAACTAGATGTCAGGAATACTCCTCAGTCCTGTTCAGAATTGGACCCCTGGGCCATCAAGAGTCCTTACCAAACAGCAGTGATGCTGAGCACCCCCAGACCTCACTACCACGAAGAACTGCCAGTCCCTGCCAACCACTTTTCACCCCATCATGGCCCCTGCTTACATCTGACCTGGGCCACTGGTGCTGAGCCTTGGAGACAAACCAAGAGGGAGGTGATGGTCAGTGTTGCTCACTGGTCTTATCCACCATGTCCAAGGTTGTAAAACAACCACCCTCTCCTTTCCCAGTGTCTCTTTGGCTACAATCTGACAGGCATCCTAACAAAAGTTTGATGCAAAAAGCTGAGAAAAAGTTACCACTGCAGAGCAAACAGTCCAGATCAAAGGGCCGTATATACATTGTGCAACTGTACTGACATGCAAAACACATCTTGCTGTACTTTCATAAAGCACATCCAGAAAGAGTATGCAATATATCTTGCATATCAAATACAGGAAGACAGTAAGAGCAGTATTAAGAGATTAGCCCAGATGCATTTAACTGGTTCTACTTAGCACATGGCTCCTCAGCAGCAGCTACAGAGGATATGAGACCATTAAGTTCTGGCAATTCCTTTAACTATCTCATCCCTCTCCAGCTACCTACTGCTGTTTTAGATGAAGGAAAGAGTTTATTGTGTTCTTTTCCCCCCTTCCTTCCCTATATTCTTTCCGTTTTATCCTGAGAAATGTAATTTTAAAAGGTGCCAGTACAATGCTACACATGTGTGTAACTGACAGAGAAACAAGGAGTAATTTCAGTCCCAAGACATGGGAAAGCCAACAAGAGCCCGTCCAGAGGT